AAAAAAACTTCCATATGTCCATTTCTAATTTTATTGTTGTTCAGTCGATCAGTTGTATCCGACTGTTTGCAACCCCATGGACTGCAGGCCAGGCTTCCCTGTCCTTCAACATCTCCCAGAGCTTGCTCAAACTCATGTCCATTGAGTTGGTGATGCCATCTAACTATCTTATCCTCTGTCACCCCCTTCTCCTCCCACCTTAAATCTTCCCCAACATCAGGGTCTTTCCAATGAGTCAGTTCTTTGCATCAGGTGGCCAAAGTATTGGAACTTCAGCTTCAGTATCATTCCCTCCAATGGCTATTCAGGGTTGATCTCCTTGCTATCAAGGGACTCTCAACACCACAGTTTGAAAACATCAATTCTTTGGTGCTTAGCCTTCTTTATGGTCCAACTCTCATGGACATAGATGATTACTGGAAAAGCCATAGTTTTGACTATACAGACCTTTGTTGGCAAAGTGATGTCTCTGCTTTTCAATACACTGTCTAGGTTTGTCATAGCTTTTCTTCCAAGGAGCAAGAGTCTTTTAATTTCATGGCTGCAGTTACCATCTGCAGTGATTTCTAATTTATGAATCATAAATTTTCCATTTCAAAAATTAACAGCATCCTCAGACAAAACATTTTCACCATGTCTAAAAATAACAAGACATATGGTATTTCCCACAAGTCTGTATTCCCTCTCTAAACCAACTCTATCCCTGACTTATGCAATTCTTGTCTGAAGGTATGGTATGATATTTTTCTTATTTTTTGGAAAATATGCATAACATAAAACTTACGATTTTAACCATTTTAAGGTGTACAATTCAGTGGCATTAAGTACATTCACAGTGTTGTGCAATCATTACCACTATCTGCTTCTGGAACTTTGTTGCCCACTTTGTCCACTACAAAAGGAAATGTGATGATCTTTTGTATGCAACAGTTACGTCAATAGGCTGCCATCTTCATACAATCAAGAGACTAGTAGAAACTTAGCAACCTTGGTAATTTTACTTTTCTTTAAAACATTTCATAAGCTAGTTTTTCTGAAGTCTCATATCTTTTCAACTTTTCTAAATGAGTTTAATCTCTAAAAAATTATTTTAACACATGCTCATTTACATAACTATATCCCTTCCAACATGTCCACCTACAACTTAAAGCACTAGATATAAGCATATTAAAAGGTAAAACCATTGTCTTATTTTGTATCTTCCCAATGCCTGTCTCTTAAAACTTCTTTAGCACAGTATTTTCCTCCAGAATATGGAATATGTGAAGTTTTTTAGAAAGTCATTACTGAAATTGTACAGAAATTGTGTCTGTTTACACACAGGTTTTAAAAATGGAATCTATTAATAATTTTCCATAGATGATGTTACAGTCTTCTCTATGTCACCAGATATAAAAGCATCGGTGTCATTCCATACCAATAAATAGATCTCTTTTAATAGCTGCATGGTATTTCCTTAATACTTTCCTTGAATTAGGATCACAAAGGAAATCTTATTCCTGACTCCATTTAATTGGTATTCTACTTCACTTGTTCTCTCTTCAGGTGGCACTGAGCAGCACCTCTACTTTGAGTTGCAAAATGTGCAGATTTGGCCAACTTAGTTCTCCAGAGTGGCCTCATTCCAACTGCATCCCTCACTAAACTTGTCTCTCCTATTCCAGGAAGACAGGTTATAGCCATGCTACCAGAATAGATTTTTCTAGTTACACACTTTTCTTCACACCACACTGCTCACTTCCAAGAATGACCTAATGGGTTGTCTCATCCTACTATTCAGTGACCAGTTTGAGTCCCTCTTCTCTGAAGCATTCCTCAAGTACCACAGCCCACAGTATCTCTTCCTTCTTAAGCTCCAGGAATGGGATTTTCCAATGAGGGTATGTATGTCATACTACGAACTGTCTGTCACTGTGCATGATGTATCTACATCTAGATTTTAAACTGAAGAAAGGTCACTTCTGCCACTTTTCACACAGAACTTTATTTAAAACACTGACTCGAATAGAGAACAATATGTTTAAACAATGAATAGAAGGGTAACTCACACAGGCGGCTCAGTTTACTAGCAGCTCAATACTGAAAAATACAGCAATCTGGACAGCAAGACAAATATCAACAAATTTTTTCAGCACTAATTATCATTTGGCATCCACAAAATGATCCAGCTCAAAGAATTGGACATAGTTAACATCAGCATTAAAATATAAGTTACAATATAAAACCAGACTGAAAACCAAAGCACTACTCAGGGTTCTTTGGGAACATAAGGCTGAACAGAGGCAGGTGGATAATCACATTAGCTTTGCCGTCCCACCTCAGGATCACTTTGATTGTTTATTTGGACTTGCAGTTCCTCAGCTAACTTCTCAAATTCATGGAATGCAGAAATAAGTGGCTCAAGACTGAAATCATCATCAATTAAGGCCATTGTTCCATTTTTTATAATATTACTGATATTCTGAAACATTTTAATAACAATTTGAATGTTATCATTTGTCTCTTCTATGTTAAAGAGACCCACAAATATTGATAGAGCCTTGGCACTGAACAGTTTTTTTGCCACCATGGGATTTTCAGACAAATTCAATAGCATTTTCAGAACATGAAACTTTGTTCTTGCATTGCCTGTGGTTACTAAGGAAAGAAATCCAGACATATAATTGGAAACCAGTGTGTGATAGTCAGTAGTTGAGGTGAGGTGTCTAAGCATCCTTAACCCAAGCACCTGCTCAGGGGAACCCACGCTATGAGCAAGGGTTTCCTCACACACTTGACACACAAATGTCTCAATCATGTTCAGATTTGGGTAAGGGGGAGCCATGTGAATCATATTTTCCAGAAAACTTGTCCTAACTCGGGAGGAGGGATAATTGAGTAAGGTTTCAATAAGTGAGACAACACCTGAATCGCGAATGAAATCACGAGTAAATTGAGAAGCAGTTCTCATACCCATTGCAATCTTAGATATTTCATGAATAAAAGGATCTCGAATTTTGTCCATTAATAGGAGGAGTTCTTCAAACTCTTCAGGACCAATTTTAAGCTCACACTGTATGCAGCTGCAGGACCAACTCTCAGGCTGTGCACTCTCCTTGGCCCTAAGATGCTCCCGAATTTCCCTGACTGACCGGTAGGATGGATCATATTGAAATGGGAACTCAGAATCAGGCTGATCAGACTGAAGCAAAGATTCCTGCTCTTCCCCTTCTGGGGTAACTTCCACATTCTTGGGCTTTCCCTCAAACAGTTCGGTGTATACAGATGTTGTTGCTTCTTCAGGAATTCTAAAGGGGCTTGGGGATGGGAAGCCAACCCCATGACAAGGACCAGGTTTGAATTCGACAGTGACCTCTTCCCAGGTTTTGGGCCTGGATGATACATCAACTTCCTCCTCGGCTGCATCTCTGAACCTGGGACTAGCCTTGTACACAGGACGAGGATTTAAGTCAAAGCAGGCCTCATCCCTGTCCCAGAACCAGGACCCAAATATGGCCTCTTCTTCAGACTCTGGTCTGGTCTCTTCTCTGGCCACAGCTCCCAAACTGGACTTTTCCTCAGTCCAGAACAACGATCCACCAATGGCCCCCTCCTCAGCCCCTGCCTCAGATTCACAGATGGCTGAAACTCCAGCCTCCATACTGGCCTCTTTTTCTGCCCAGAACCAGGACCCAATAATGACTTCCTCCTCAAACCTGGGTTCTTGTTTGACCCTGTCACTGTTATTAACAACTTTCTGGGTCCTGGGCTTCAAGACAGTATTAGGTTCTTCCTTGTCTCTGGGTCTCAATCTACTATTGGCCTCTTCTTCAGGCAAGAACCAAGATTCCTTATAGTACTCGTCTTCAGACTCAGATTCAAAAAAGTCCTCTCTTTTTGTCCGGAGCTTGGACCTCATATTTGCCTCATCCCTGACTCTGGACCTGAACAAGTTATTGGTATTTTCTCCAGCCCACAAGCAGAATGGGTTGCCAGACTCTTCCTCAGACCCAGACCAGGAATCAATAAAGGGATCTTGCCTGGATCTGGGCCTGGATCTGGGATTAGGCTGATGTTTGGCCCTGTGCCTAGACCTGGTATTGGCCTCTTCCCTAGGCCATGATCTGATACTGGCCTCTTCTCCAGTCCAAAAAGAAGATGTTGTAGAGGTCTCATCTGCTGACCAGAATCCAGACTCACTAGAAGCTTCCTCTCTGGCCTTGGCCCTGGGATAGCACCAAGACCCCATACTAGTTTCCTCCCCAGATCCAAACCAGGGTTGGATTCCTGTCTGAACCTGGGAGCTAGGAAAGGTCTCATTGTCCACATTGACCAGTTCCCTATCCACGGATAGGGCCATAGGTTTAGTGGCTGACCCAGACTCATTACTGACTAATGGCCAAGCTACTGCATTGGTTTGGGGCATGCCCTCTGCTTGCAACACTGCCTCAGCCCCCAACTCAGTCTGAGCCCAAACTTGGGCTTCATCTTTGGGTCTTGCTCCAGGGACTGCCTTGGCTTCAGTCTTAGGACGTGCCCTGCCTACTGTCCTGGCCTCAGTTTTGGGCCTTGCTCCTGCCGTTGCCTGGAATTCAGTTTTAGCCCTTGCCCCAGCCATTGGCTGTGACTCCGTTCTGGGCCTTGCTCCAGCCATTGTCTGTGACTCAGTTTTAGGCCTTGCCCCAACCATTGCCTTGGACTCAGTTTTGGACCTTGCCCCAGATGTTGCCTGGTTCCTAACCTTGGGTCTGACCACCATTGGGACTTCATTTTCTCTCTCAGCCCCACCCACAACCTCTTCTCCAGGCTTCTTTTCAGGCTTGGCCTGGGCAACAGGCTCAACTTCAGCCCCAGTCATAGTACAAGTTACAGAAAAGACCCAGTTAAATACCTTGATCCAAGTCTCAGTCTCTACCACAGATCTGTCACAGTTCTGAATCTTCACACTCTGTAATCTCTCGATGATTCAGACAATATAGTTGGAAAAAAAAGTTAGAGTCAATCACCAGTCCAGCACTCAATCAGCCTCCTTTCCAATCCCAGCCCCAGCCAGTATCACAGAGTGCAGAAGCAGCCCAACCAAGCTGGGAGAGGATGATGGTTCCCCAGGGCAGGGTGCAGACCTTTCGACAGTGATGGTCAGCAGCAATTCCAGCACCACCAGAGCTGCCACTGGAACTCAATCTAGGAAGCAAGAACAACATGGGACATTGTGTCTCTTCCAACTGTCACTCCATGCAAAAACTCACACAGAGAGACTGGACCTTAAAAGCTTGGTGGGAAAGTTAGGCTATTAGAAAGTCCCTCTGTCATCCTCATTTTACCCAAACATACTCTTTAACTCCAGAGATGCCACATTGCTTTGCTTGCTATAACACACATGCATAAATAGTGTGAAATGATCTTGGCAATGAGAGAAGCTGAGGAGCCTCAAGACCAGACCCTAATCACTCCTGGACCTGTGTTGGTCTTTTCTACTGCACCCAAAAGCTGGACCCACTCTCATACCTGCACCAATGTGGCACAATCTTCCTCTCCTTGTTTTGTTCCAGTGGTATTAAGCCTTAAGCAAACAGCAAGCTCGCCTATGGATGAGTAAACATACAGTAAAAATGGAGTCTGACTGCTTGGTTGACAGGCAGACACCCTGACCACAGATAAATATCTCTTTTTGTTTAAGTGTCTAATTTGTCTAATGTTTTCTTTCTCTTGGTCCCTGCTCTCTTGGTCTGCTCCTCCCTTTCACTGCCCAATCCACACCTACCCAACAATCCTAACACTCCTGCAGGACAGCAAATGGTCAAAGGGTTCTGCAGCAGCATGCAAATCTAAAAGAGAGTAGAAGATATGAATCAGCGACACCCAACTAGATGGAAAACACTTGTCAATCTTCCTCTGTAGCTGTCCCCTGCGTTGCTCCTCTTTACACAAACCTTCAGAGATTTCAGTCTCTTCCTTCTTTCCTTCCTTGCAGAAGTAACCAGCCTTAAAGAAGGTCTATGGACAAAAGAAAAAAACAGTCAGAAGACCAAGGTAGCAACTAAGAGGCTGGTGAACAGACCAACACCGAGTATGGGAATTCATATAATCTTTCAATATTTAGAGTCCTCTTAGTAGAATATTCTCATTTTATTTAGGTCCTGTATTTCAGCAGTCCAGATAACAAACAGCATCTCTTGACGTCACATTTTCGCATTGCTCCCTTCTCCTATTATGAGGATTCACCACTAGGTGCACCACATCCCTTTGCCTTGCGCAGTATAAATTGGGGGAAGGGTGCCCACATATTCTAGAAAACAGGTTGTGCAGTGGTACCTGAATTTATGACTTCTGTCCCACCTTTACCTCCTAGTCCATCTTTTCCACCCCTAATTCTGGATTGAGAAGAGAAAGGAAGGCAAGGGAAGTGTGTAAAAACCTGGTAGACAAGAAATTTACAAAGTATTCCTGGATGCCTGACCTGTGCTGGTCGCAATCACTCCACCCCGATTCACATGTCCAGTCAACGGCTGCTGCCCACCCCCACCCTCCTTACACGTTCAGAAAAACAGGCCTTTCTCCTGTCCCTCGTTTACCTCAAGCCTCGCTACAGATGCACCCCGTGGCCTGAAATTGCCAGACCTACTGCACAGACAGTAGACTTTGGCATTAAAAAGGTGCCTGTGGGAAAGGACAGCATCCGGCACGAGGGGTCCGACAGGCCCTTGGCAGAATCACAGCCCCGGCTACTCCCGTCCTGGCTTCGGCGACCTCCTCGGAGCGCCCCCGTGGGATCCCTCCGCCATTTCTCCCATAGCAGCTTCCCGCACAACCCTCTCCCCGCACAAGCACCGTCGAGGGCGGAGCACGGCCACCAGGAAAGTCCGCCAGGGATTAGTCCGCGCCATACGACTCCACAGCATCCGAGGGAACCCCTACGGCCAAGACTCCGCGGCCCCGGGCCCGGCCCGCGCCGGTCACCGTCGTCTCAGGGCCAGGGGTCCCCCAGCGCTGCTTATCTCTTTAAGGATCCCGTTCCGACCCGCTCGCCTCCCCGTCCTCAGGCTGCCAAGGGCAGGCTGTGAGCCGGTCGTCGCCCCACGACACCCCCACTTGCCTTCGCAGGCGCTGGGTCGCAGCTCCTCTCTCGCTTCCCACCGCTCGCCGTGCGGGCGGAATGGAAAAGAGGCGTCCCCACCTCCCGCGCCGCTGCGCCAAACCGGGTAGGGGCTGCGTAGGCTGCGGCACCGACGGCTCGCGGCGAGGGTGTCGGGAAGGGGGGCGGAGGGATACGGCACGAATGAACTAGACGCCCCCTCCCAGGCCCACCATAGTTCCGACCCAGAGGGGGCGGGGCCGGGAAGAACGCCAGCCTGAGGGGCGGGGCCACGCCAGTCCTCCGCTGCCCCCCGTTGGGTGACCACTCCCCCCCACCCCCCCACGCTTCTGGCCCTGCAGCGTAGAGTGGTCGCGGGCTGGGGCTGGGAGGGTCGCGAGGGGTTGCAATGCAGGGAGCAGCGGGTGCATACAGGGTGCCCCGCAGAGAGAGAGAGAGAGAGAGAGAGTGAGTGTGTGTGTGTGTGTGTCAGGGAGCAGCGGATGGATACAGGACGCCTCACAGTGTGTGTGTGTGTGTGTGTGTGGCCGGGGCTGGGAGGGTCGCGAGGGGTCGCACTGCAGGGAGCAGCGGATGGGTACAGGACGCCCCGCAGTGTGTGTGTGTGTCTGAACCCGCAGACTGTTCGGTGCCCGCCCCCTCCCTTCCCCCCCTTCCCCCATCACGCCGGCCATCCTTCTTGGGCGCAGGTGGCATGGGGGCCGCGAGCTGGAGGAAAGTGGGAGGGAGCGCCCGTAGAGGCCGAGCCCCCGCCTCTCTTCTAAGGGAGGGCAGCCCCTGATAGACCTCTGGCTGAGGAGACAAGCCACTTTTCTGTGCCAGTGTCTTCATTCTTTCTGCCACACTGCTATTGTCTCAGTCGCTGTGGTGGCACACTTTACCATTTCACTGTCCCCACAGTTGCCCAGGAAAGAGGACCTTTCCTTGACAGGCCCCGCACCTGCTCAGACAATCCTGTTTCTCACCCCACAGTCAGGAGTCAGGCACCATGTAGGGGCAGTCCTGGCTCCTCTTCCTGGCTTCTGTAAGGTCTTCTCTTGCAGGGGATTTCAAGGGCTCATCATCTTTGGCAGGGTAGGAATATGCCAAGGATTAGAACCAATTGGGATCTCACATGCTTGCCATACACACCAGTCTACTTCCCCCAGCCATTCTTTGGAGTTGGCCTCACCAGGCACCCACTTCCCCAAGACAGAAATCTGCTGGTTCTTGAATCCTCTGATTACTGCACTTCTACATCCTCCTTGCAGTCTCCATCCTCTTCATTTGTGCTCCATTGGGCAAACAGCAACCGTGGTTAAGAACATCTCTGGTTGAGCACAAATCTGTTGGCATTGTTGCCCCGTTTAAAACCCAACTAAATGGCACCCTTGCTTTGGTAGGCTGAATAAAAGTCCCCCCAAAAGGTCCATGTCCTGTTCTCCAGAATCTGTAAATATATGATGTTACCTTGCACAAGAGAATTAAGGTCGTAGATGGAATTAAGATTGCTAATCAGCTGAATGTAAAGAAAGATCACACTGCTTTATCTTGGTCAATGCCATGGAAAGCTACTTTAAATGTGGAAGAAGCAGGCAGAAGATTTAGTGTCACAGTGAAGTTGCATGCAAGATGCCACCAGTGGATAGGATGTCGCTGGTTTTGAAGAAGGAAGCCAGAGGCCAAGGCCCACATGCAGACCCAGAAGGTGGAAAAGGCAAGGAGACAGATTCCTCTAAGGACCTCTTGGAAGAATGAAGTCCTCCTATCACCTTTATTTCATACCAGTGAAACCCTTTCCTATGTGCAACCTTCAGTATTTTTATTTTTTGCTTTTTTTTTTAATCCAGCAATATTGTGATAATTTGTTACAGCAGCAGTAGGAATGGAATTCACTCACCATCCTGACTGTCCATTCCTCTTCACTCAAATTGGGCTTCATGCCCTGGGAGGATCAATTTGGGGGCTCATCTCTCACCACTCACCACTATAACCACCCTCTTAAGAACCTTCTCTCTTTGCTAAAGGAGGGATTTTGCAGTCCTCTGAGGTTCATCTTGGAGAAAGTCCCTATTTACTGACAATCACTGATGCTTACCAGAATCAAAAGAGAAACTTATTCTTACCATGAATTTTCATATATTTACCTATCAGCTTTTACTTGTTATTAGATACTTATTATTGGGGTCACAATGAGTCAGACATGATAATTGTAAAATATTTAGATGACAGAAAAAATCTAGAGACAGTTCTATACTGTATCTAGAGACAACAGATGTCAGTTGTCCCAGGAAAGGCTTTCACTGTGCTCTTTCAATGGCTTTAGCTGAATTGTGGATTATGTTTTCTTTATTCCAAAGTATACTCTCTCTTGGGTGAATGCCAGGCTTAAAGAAGGGAGTCTGAGCTCTGCCAAGATCTGTGGGTGTTATGTGAATCTCTTTACCTCTCTGAACTGTTCTTTCTCCTCCTTCAAGTGGCTGGTGCTTTGCGTTCATTCAGCGAATATAGATATGAACATCTACTTTGTCCTCAGTGCAAACAAAAAAGAAATCTCCACTCCCACAGAGGTGACCTTTACTTGTAGTTTCATTCTTTTTATTTTACAAAAATTTACAGATTTATCCAAAGTCATATTAGCAATCCTATGTGGTAATTCTGGATATAGTGAAATCTTGATTTCAGGATACTGACAGAGGAGTGAATCTTCTACTAGCTGATAGATTATACTGTGAGATTTTGAAATGTCTCTTAGACATTTTATTGTTAATTCATTTAGAGAACAGACAGTACAACGCATTAACATTTATTGAACCAAGAAGGTCCTATTTTAAACATTTTGTGTATTAACTCACAACAATATTGGACAGTATGAACTATTATTGAAATAAGCTATTACCTTCATGTTACATGTGAGGAAACCAGCTTGGGTGAATTGTTTCATCTTTAAAGTCAAAGGGAAAAAGAAAAGCTTTAAATATTAAAAGAATGCTGACCTGTATCTGTCTGACTGGTAAACAGTATTTACTTCATCCTAAATGAAATGATACGTTGGATCATCGAAAAAGCAAGAGATTTCCAGAAAAACATCTATGCCTGCTTCATTAATTACGCTAAAGCCCTTGACTGTGTGGATCACAACAAACTGTGGAAAATTCTTAAAAATATGGGAATACCAGACCACCTTACCTGCCTCCTGCGACACCTGTATGCAGGTCAAGCACCAGACATGGAACAAAGGACTGGTTCAAAATTGGGAAAAGAGTACATCAAGGCTGTCTATTGTCACACTACTTATTTAACTTATATTCTGAATACATCATTAAAAGTGCCAGGCTGGATAAAGCACAAGTTGGAATCAAGATTCCTGGGAGAAATATCAATAACTTCAGATATGCAGATGACACCACCCTCATGGCAAAAAGCAAGAGGAACTAAAGAGCCTCTTGATGAAGATGAAAGAGGAGAGTGAAAAAGCTGGTTTAAAACACAACATTCAGTAAACTAAGATCATGGCATCCAGTCCCATCACTTCATGGCAACTAGATGGGGAAACAATGGAAACAGTGACAGACTTTATTTTCTTGGGCACCAAAATCACTGCAGGTGGCAATTGCAGCCATAAAATTAGAAGATGCTTGCTCCTTAAACATCCCTGGTGGCTCAGAAGTTAAAGCAAGCGTCTGCCTGCAATGCAGGAAACCTGGGTTCATTCCCTGGGTTGGAAAGATCCCCTGGAGGAGGAAATGGCAAGCCACTCCAGTATTCTTGCCTGGAAAAATCCCATGGAGGGAGGAGCCTGGTAGGCTACAGTCCACGGGGTCGCAAAGAGTCAGACACGACTGAGCTACTTCATTTTCACTTTCTTTGCTCCTTGGAAGACAAGCTATGACAAATCTAGACAGTGTATTGAAAAGCAGAG